GTAGTATGTGTAGTATGTGAGTGCTGGAGAAGAGTAAGAGAGAGTTGCTGAGGAGAGGTGACATGAAGCGAATGGAGGAGAAGGGAGAGTAGAGCAGAGCAGCTGTTACAGCGGAAGTGAGTGAGAGAGTGCGATGAGTAGAGTGGGAGAGATATGCAGCAGGTTGATTCTGCCTGACGTGGATGCTAGTGTCTGAGATTAAGCCATGCATGTTGAGTGAATGCGGTAGCAGGAACGGCGGACGGCTCAGTAAGACTACGATGAAATGATGCACGAGCGGCAGTAACGGCGGGAAACTGAAGATAATGGCGCGGAAGGTAGTTGCGGGGTGCGAGAGTGCAGCGGACTAGCGGAGTGGAGTGTGTTGTAGGCCTATCAGCTGGTAGCTAGGGTAATGGCCTAGGTAGGCGATGACGGGAGACGGGGGATTGGGGTTTGAATCCGGAGAGGGAGCCTGAGAGATGGCTACTACGTCCAAGGATGGCAGCAGGCGCGAAACTTGCCTAATCCTGTGGGGAGGCGGTTATGAGACGTGTTGAAGCAACATGGACGACGAAAGAGTTCAGTGAGATTGGAGGGCAAGTCGGGTGCCAGCAGCCGCGGTAATACCTGCTCCGATGGTGTCTATGGTGAATGCTGCGGTTAAAATGTCTGTAGTTGAGTGAGAGCGTGTATGAGCGGAATGCGGGCGAGCAAGGGCCGAGGAGCTTGTATGTGTGAGGGGAGCAACGGAGGGGGTGCACCGGATAGCTGGGCGAGAGGTGAAATGCGAAGACCCTGGCAGGACGAGCGGAGGCGAAGGCAGTGTGCCATGACGAGTGCGGTGATCAAGGACGAAGGCCAGAGGATCGAAATCGATTAGATACCGTTTTAGTTCTGGCAGTAAACGATGCTGACGGGACGACACGTGTGTGTTGTGCAGGAGAAATTGAGTATGTGGGCTCTGGGGATAGTATGTTCGCAAGGGTGAAACTTGAAGAGATTGACGGAAGGACACCACAAGGAGTGGAGTGTGCGGCTTAATTTGACTCAACGCGGGGCAACTTACCAGGGCTGAAGATGTGCGGGGAGCCTCGGGGGGAGCATGTTGGCGGTGGTGCATGGCCGTTTGAAACGGATGGCGTGAGCTGAGGATTAATTTCCGGAAGGCGTGAGACCCACGAGACGGGTTGTCTGGACGACAGGAGGGGGTGGAACAGAACAGGTCCGTTATGCCCTGAGATGTCCTGGGCGGCACGCGCACTACGATACGTGGAGGAGACGTGTGAGGGATGAATGTGTGGAATGGTGTTCTGAACGTGGAATTCCTAGTAACGGCGGCTCAACAGGCCGGCGTGAATGTGTCCCTGTCCTTTGTACACACCGCCCGTCGCTATCTGAGATGGCACATGGGACGAACACCGAGGGGTGTGAGTCTTCTGTGGTAGATGAGATATAAGTCGTAACATGGCTGCGGTTGGAGAACCAGCTGCAGGATCAGTATGTTGAGGATGTGAGAGTATGTGAGTGAGAGTGCACGAGAGTATGTGTGAGAGTGAATGATGGTAGTGGAGAATGTAGTGGTAATTGTAAGTGAGGGGAGAGGAGAGAAGAAGAGCACGCACACGGGATTGCTTGGCACACAGGACGAGGAAGGACGTGAGAGAAGACGAAACGCAAGGTGTCTGAATTGCACGGGAGTGCGGAGACCCCCTTGACTTAAGCATATCAGTAAGGGGAGGAGAAGAAACCAAATGGGATGTCCTGAGTAGCGGCGAGTGAAGTGGACGGAGGCTGTGTGGTAACTGCGGAAGCGGGTTGTGTGATGCTGAACGGGCAGAAGGCGGTAGGAATGCCGACGACGGAGAGGGGGAGAGCCCTGTATGCGCGGGAGCGAGTGGCGAGGAGTAGGGCTGCTTGGGAGTGCAGTCTGAAAGCGGTGGTGGTTTCCATCGAAGGCTAAATATGTGAAGTGTGACCGATAGAGGAGAAGTAGGGAGACCGAAGGCAGAAGAGGCGAAGGATGAAGAATGAAAGTGTGCGTGAGTGGGGAGAAGCCCGCCCGTCTTGAAACACGGACCAAGGAGACGACGCGTGCATTGTGTGGCGAGAGCTGATGGATGTATGGGTCGGACCCGAAAGGCAGTGAGCTATGTGTGTCTGGATTGAAGGGTGGCGAAAGCCTGCTGGAGGATCCTAGTTGTTCTGACGTGCAACTCGATGATGTGAGATGTGCATAGCGGCGAAAGACCAATCGAACTGCCTGGTAGCTGGTTCCCCCTGAAATGTCTCTAAGGACAGCGGCGACGGGAGTGTGCGATGCAGTAAAGCGACCGGGTGTAAGGGAGACGAACTCTGAATGTGTTGTTGAAGAGGGTTGCTAGTGGGCACACGGTGGTAAGCATGGTGTGCGAGGAGGAATGAACCTTGATGAGCGATAAGGGGCCTAAGTGGGCGTGGCGGAACTGTTTGCGCCGGTTGAGACAGTTGGACGGTGGCCATGGAGGTAGGCATCCGCTAAGAAACGTGTTACGACGTACCGACCGAACTGGCGGGATGGGAAAATGGAAGGGATGGTAGCCTGAGCCGATGCGGTTGCGCTTGTGGGTGAGTAAGGGGGCGGCATGATTTCTGAGAAGCGTGTGCGTGAGTGTGCGTGGAGGGGTGATGTGAGCGGATCTTGGTGGTAGTAGCAGGAAGAGAATAGTGCGGATGGACGAGGGTTTCTGCTGAAGCGGAGTGAAACGGCGGTTGAGACGGAGATTGATTGAGAGTTTGATGTATGTGTGCTGGGAGGTGACTTGGTGGTGACGGATGGAAGGAGCTCTGGCGCAGGAGGACAGAACTGAGTGATGGGCACGGTGTGGAGTGTTGAGCAGGGAAGCAGTGTGTGTGGAGTGTGGAAGTCCCGATGAAAAAGCAGCAGGCATGCCGTACCTAGACCGCAGCAGGTGTCCATGGCGAGCAGCAAGAGCACGGTAGAGAACGGTTGTAAGGGAAGTCGGCAAGGAGGATGTGTAACTTTGGGAGAAGGATTGGCTCTAGCATGCTAGAACTGATGGAGAAGCGGGGAATCTGACTGTTTAGTAAAAACATAGCTTTCTGGAGACGGTAAGTGAATTCTGCCCAGTGCATTTGTAGTGAATTGTGTGTAAGCGGAAGCGAGTGTAAACGGCGGGAGTAACTATGACTCTCTTAAGGTAGCCAAATGCCTCGTCATCTAATTAGTGACGCGCATGAATGGAGCAACGGGATTCCCACTGTCCCTATGACTGGCGCTGCGAACCCACGGCCAAGGGAACGGGCTTGGCGGATACAGCGGGGAAAGAAGACCCTGTTGAGCTTGACTCTAGTATGTGTGAAGCGACGGACGGCGCGACGAAGAGAGGTGGGGAGCGGGTGCAAGACCACTGTTGAGCTTGTGCGGCGGTTTGAGGGTGCATATGGGGAGTTTGGCTGGGGCGGCACGACTGCTATAGACGAACGCAGACGTCCTAAGGTGGGATCAGCGGGGAGGGAAACCACGCGTGGAGTACAAGGGCAGAAGCCTGCCTGAGGCTGTCCCTTGCGAGGGATGGCTGGGGGAAACCCGGGCCTAGAGATCCCGTGTCCTGTGGAGTGGTGGGACACGGGTGACGGAAAAGTTACCACAGGGATAACTGGCTTGTAGCGGCCGAGCGACCATAGCGACGCAGCTTTTTGATTCTTCGATGTCGGCTCTTCCTATCATCGTGAAGCAGGAATTACGAAGTGTTGGATTGTTCACCCACCAACAGGGAACGTGAGCTGGGTTTAGACCGTCGTGAGACAGGTTAGTTTTACCCTACTGTGTGGTAGTTGCAGCAGGGCGGGATAGTACGAGAGGAACTCCTGGCCGCGACCTCTGGTGGAGCGGTCTGCCTGTAGGCGGCTGCGTGGCTACGTCGTGCGTATAACGGCTGAAGGCCTCTAAGCCGGAAGACGGACTGTGACTAGTGAGTGGCGGAGGACGACCGTGTGGATGCACGCTGTGCGGATGGAGGAGTACTCCGACATCTTGAGGCGATGCAGGGCGGATGCTGTGTGGGCAGTGTGTGCA